GAATTTTTTTATTTCTTAAATTTACGTTGCATATATTTTAACCTCGAGTGAATTAAGTCACAGTTAATGGAAAACTGTATTCTGTGGGATAAGTTGAAAGCTCTAAAACGTATTCCTTCCTTCCTCTAACTGAGAATTTATAATTAATGGATGCATTCATGAAACAAATCTAAATGTTTCACTGTTTAAGACAAAAATTTCATTAGCTTTACGTGAATAGAGAAAAGTGTGACTCAGATGTCATCCACCTGACATTTTTAACTTTTGCCCATTATACTGTTTGAATTTTAAACAATCTGATGTGGCCCGCACAAGATCTCCCGTAAAGTATCGAGTGATATTTTACTTAAACATCGTTGCTATTTATGATAAAACAGAATTATTAATTGTTTGTAAATAAAATTTAATATGTTTACGTATCTAATCAGGCTTATGAAGCTTATTAAGTTTATGGATTAATGTTAATTAAAAATACTACTCTTTATTATTACTTTACTCTCCCAAAAAAAGGAAAATTATGATTTTACGTTCTTATTTTAACATCTCTTATCATACTTCCATTTAAAACTATGGCATCAGTCGTAGCACACTATATATATAGAGCCCACCAGCGGCCGTAAAATCGCTGAACACTGGTAGTTTGGTCCGAGGTTCAAATCCCGCAAACGGGCTGGCTGCATGGGCGTTTTCGTGGTTTTCCCCCTGTGTAACGTGTATACGAGCCAGTTTCTCTTAGAAAGTCCTCCACGAAGGCATCCCTTCCCTTAGGCAGATATCCCTAGTGTGCTTTACCGTATTCTCAATAAACCAAACCAAACCTATATATATATAGTGTTTATTACACTGTTATATAGTATATATTATAGTATTTCGAATTCACGAATCAATGACTTAACAATCACAGAAGTTTTAAAAACAGAGTATCTTAACCAGTATAACATTGCTAAACACTTTTCCAGTCTTTTCTCAGTTTATTATATCATCGTACATATTTCTTAATAAGATGCCAACCTTTTTTATTTGTTATTTTAGCTTTATTTATTAAACATCACATTTTCGCAATAACACCACATTAAATTTAAGACCAAAATCACAAAATGTTTAAAAGCAGCTTGTCTTGAGAATTCACAATGAATATCAAGTGTTACCGCACATTGTTTTTTATAGTCACTGTACTATTTATACTTGCTACACCATTTCTTTAAAAATTATATTTACCATCAACATCTGTCAGTACTATTCGTTGCATTTAGCATAATTCTAATAACTTCAATTAATTTTGTATTTATAAGTTCAATAAAATTTAATGCTTATAAATGCAATATGTTGTTCTCAATCACATACATGTTTCAACAGATCTGAGAAGTTTTTAATTATTTCATAATATATTTTCATCAAAACTTCTCTGAGCTTAAAGTATCATTTCCAGTTTATCAGTTTCATTCTAAATCTAATATATTGTTTCCATGGATATAAAACTTTTAAATACTAAAATTTCAAAGTTTGGGATTATATTTTAATATAGTTTTCCATTGAAAACTGCTGTAAGCTTCAAGTAAAATACCACTTCTTGTTGTCCATTGAAAACTATTATGGACTTCATATGATTTCCGATTGTCCAAACTCTAATCAGATCATTATATGAATTCAGAAAGCTTAAATACTAAAATGAAACCTTTTGGAGTTTCATATGAGAGTTATCGCTACGAAACTTTCGTCACACATATATACATAAACATTATTCTAAAAATATTGAAAACCTGTTGTGGTGACCTTAATTCGTGTTTATTTATTGAAAACTCTGAACCGAATTTTTGGATCAAAAAATCATTTTCCTTACGTAAGTATAAGTGTATAAAAAAAGCAAACATTTCAAAAATATGCGTTTGGCTGAGGGTTCGATCCCATAGTTTTTATGTACCCGAAACCGACCTTGTGTAGCTCTCCCAATTGGTACCTCACCTTGATTTGTTTTCTTCCAATATGTAATCTACTTGATTACATATTGGAGAAGTTGCTTGGACACATTTCAAGGTGCATTGACTGTGTACTTAAAAATATCAAAATTTACATTTTTGAACATACGTATATGGTTTGGCCACTTAGAAAGTTAATTGAAAGTATGTCAAACCATATGGTACTCCGCTTACAGCAGAACACAAAATAATGATGATAAATTCTGAATGTCTGAAGCCCAGCTAAGACATTATAAACAGCATAAAAAGTATTTGTGGTATCTGTGCTAAGTCGGACAGAAGCAATATGAGTGAAACTCCATCCTGCCTAAATGTCACAAAACTCAATACTAGCTTTTTATTCTTAGTTGAGGACAAAGTTGTCTTAGGGAAGGTCAACATCTGGTGACAGTCATAGCTGAAACGCGGGGTCACATATTCAAGATTCAAACGTGTAATGTCGTCTAGCGAATGAAAGGAAATGAAAAATAGGTATAACAAAACTCTTTAAACGAAATTGTAAAACTGTAATTTTTGTCATTTTAATGTTAATTGTGTTATTCTGTGTTGTACGTTGACGGAGATGCAAAATATTTAAATATTTAGTGACTTCCCAGCTTGAGGATCACCATTGGCTTTCTGGATTTAGAAGCATACCCCACCGTCCGTCATATTATTCATGTCACTATCTCTGAGTTAATAACATCGTAAAATAAGAATTTTCACGCGTAAACTGAGAATTCCTGTTAGGACATATTAGAAAGTCCTCCACGAAGGCATCCCTTCCCTTAGGCAGATAGCCCTCAATGCTTTGCCGTAATTAAATAACCTAACCTAACCTGTTAGGATATAATTCGCTGAAGTTGTCAACAGCTGAATTAAAGCTGACGAGCTATATTATACCTTGATGTGTAATTTTATGCGAATTGCTGCAAGTACTTTTAAATGCAAACTAACTTATTAGACTTTAAAATCAAGTTTAAAATTGACAAGTAGATATTAAGAATTCAAATTCAGATCCTCTTAGCTTCCACACACAGGAACTTTGCCTGACGAGTAAGTACTGAGAAAGAATACATTTTTAGAAAACGAGGAAGCACTGAATTTTTCATTCCTTAAATGTACGATGCAGACATTTTAATCTCGAATACGAAATTAAGTCGCACTAAAAGGAAAATTATACGCTGTCTCATAAGTTGAAAGCCCATGTTCGTGAAACATTCCTTACCTGATTTTAATTAAAGGATTTATGATTTATTAATATTTTCTTTATAAATATATATATAGTTTACGTGTATGTTCCACAACGCAAGATTTCGTTGCTGTCAAATTTAGATTCAGTACTATAAGATCCGCTGGAGGGCAATTATTGAGCTACTACCTATCAAAAATTTTCGAAAATGCAGCTAACTGTTTTCTGATGTCTCCTAATGCTTGAGATTTTAGAAATATCGTACTCCAAATTATATATAGTAAATTACATAAAATTAAATGTAATAAATTCTTAATATAATGCATTAATAGCTATAGTAATTGCAATAATTCTACTTAATACAATTTAATACAATTTAATGTATGATTTACAAATTTCCAGTCTGAGAACATAATATAAAGCAAGTAAGCATGTAAATATCAAATTAACTGTCTAATTACTCCCCAAATTTTGTAGAGATTTGATAATTAACATCTTCTGTTGCTAGGATTTCGAAAGGTTTGTCATTGTTAAGCAATTATAGCAAATATAACATTATTAATAACTTACAATTAAATTAATTGTCAACATGCAAATTATCATCCAACGTGACATTATTTACAAAGATATTATCCTTGGAAGGCACCTAGGGTAGATTATATGGAATTAAATGCCACTTAACAAACACCGGAAAACTTTAAAAACTAAGGCATCAAAAGATATATAAAAGTTTAGTAGTTATCTTAGTGTTTTATTTCATAACCGCCTTACTTGGACCCGTCATGTTAATAACGTGCGTGACAGGGCACTTAAAATCACCAAATGCTTATACCCAATTATTGGGAAATACTCTTCACTGGATCTGAACAAGAAGAGACTTATTTACCTCTCCGTTATCAGACCAGTAATGACTTAACGCTTCGTCGGCATGGACAACTATCTCCAATAAAAATCTTAAAAAGCCTCAAGTGGTGCAAAGCCTTCGCATCATTACAAATGCCCATTTCTATGCATGTAGCAAATGTCTTCACGGCGACCTTAAGATCGAAACGTTGGCGAAGTCTCTCGGAAAACTCATTGAATGCTTCTATCAGGAAACACAATAATGTAATATAATGAACCACTTTTTAACATTTTAACTACCAGATTCTTCAAGAGGACCGCCATCTGCGCCCATTTACGGCTTTCCTACTCATCGATAACCAAAATTTCCCTACATAAAGCTTAAATGTGCTTTTACATCTACTCAAAGATCTCAGCTGAGTCGGCGCATATAGCACGATTTTGACTTAATCTTCATCACTCATTTTATGCATTTGTAAATATTGTGTATATAGGCTTCAGTTTATGAGAAAAATTTCTATTTTTATGGATTATATCTTGTCTCCAGGACTGACTTAAGCATTTCTGTCCCTGAATCGCTACATGAAGCAACCAACTGAAGATAGCCGGTAACTGAAGATAGCTTGCACTTTTGCAAGATAGACGCGGCGACAACTGCAAACGGAACGGAAAGTTTAGTAGTTAATTATTATGACTAAACTGTTGGATAAATAGCTTTATGAAAAACATTTTAAGATAAATTCTGTTATATTAAAGTTAAGTTCGAGTACCGAGTATAAAGGTTGTTTTGAGACACAACAAAGTAGCTAAAGCTGTGGAACACATAAAACGAAAGTTGCATAGAAGTAAAGAACTTCTAAAAAGAATGAATAATTCATCTTTATCAAACAACTTAAAGGTGTTATTTAGGTCGTCTTTGAATTGATACGTTGATTACCTTGTGATATTTGCAAGTTTGTTAGCGAAATGTAACTCTTTTTTTATTTATTATTTTATATTCCTGTTTTTAGGTTAATGTTGCACAGAGGAGTTTATCAAGATCCTTTCCTGGCTTACGCTGGTGCCGAACGTTATCAACTTCCGGTAAAGATCCGTTAATATGCATATATAATTTTATGGACTATTATTTTGTTAAATTTCAAGCATATTGTACATACTTAACTGTTTATAATTTTAATTCTGTTTATACTTCCAGTATTTGAAACAATTCATTACATAATATGTTTGTTTCATTGCTCGAAACAGATATAATTAGTTCTCATAAAAATTTGTTTCAGGGGACAGCTTTCAAAGTCTTGTGCATTTGCAATTTCACATAACTAGTCGTGTGAAATTACTCCTGTATTGTAGACTCGCTTGTTTTTATTGCCTGATATTTCTTCAGATTTGCCATTTTCTTCAGATTTGCCTCATATTTCTTCAAATTTGCCATTTGTATAAGGAAATAACAGTGTAACTGTAGACTCTTCTGTCACTCATGTACGTCAAAGTTAAAATCCCAAAAGAGAGGTTTAGAAGTGGACTTCTAAACGAAGAGTAAAAGCTACAGAGAATAGACATCTTTGCCTCTGATATTTATCTGTCGAGGAATGATACTAAGAGTGCAGCACTGCTAGAAAATAATCAGAATAAGCAAAGTTGAGGTCCAAATTTAAGATCACATGAAATAACGATTAACTTCCTCGTTTCAACAACTAAAAGATTTTTGTAATCTGTAGTTTATGATTTTTCAACTCCTAAAGAAAATACATTGCTTTTTGAACATGGTTATCTATTACAGTTTTCAAATAGCCTTAGAAAAGCAGAAGCCTAGATTCATTGGGTCAAACAATCTTGATATTTCCTTACACCTTGAATAATCAAGTTTCTGAAATGAAATGAATAAAGTGCACCGCTTATAGTTGCAGTATGTTTCCCTTTCCGAGTTTTGGAAGAGTAGATACCTGTAACAACTTTAAATGTGAGCATGAAATTCATGAATACTTGAGCACTGCAGAGAATTTTTCTGTTAAACTAAATATCTATTGAGAGTGATTTGTTCCTTGTAATTTAATTGCAAAAACGGTGTACTGGGATCTTACCAATTTACAATCTTCTTAAATATAAAGCGAAATTTAATGGAATACCGCCTTCATGAATTATAGTTTTGGAAACAAGTCTTTACTAGTACCTCAATTAATTAATTTTGAAGAGCACAGTTGCGACAGCACATTTCATTATTTTAAAGGAAGGCAGTGAGATTCCCTGAAAGTGGCTTGCAGGGCTTTTTTCGCAGGCGAATGCAATTCGCCGATCCCCGACCATAGTCAATCATACACTAGTGTGAAAAGCTTAACAAATTTATTTTTCTACATACGGCACTGAATTGTGAAAAAGGGTTTTTTGCTATCAGTAGAAGTAGAAGAGTGATGCATATGCAGATATCAGAACCATGACATCAGACTGTACGCCAGGACACACAAAGCGAGAGAAGTCAGCGCGCGCGGTGCGAGGGAACAAAACGAAGAAAGGAAGGCGCCTTTCTGAAGCGCCAGTGAAAAGTGGGATTGTACTTGCAGTATGGCTACAAGAAAACATCAGGATGTGTTTATACGTGGTAGAATTATTGTTGAGTATCAGAAGGGCTGTAGTTTGACGTCTGCCACCCTAGAGTTTGGAGTTAATAATAGTGTTGTTTCATGAACTTGGAAAGCCTTCCAGCTGACAGATACAGCTGAAAGAAATGGTGGTGGTATGTCAAGAAACCAATGATGAGTGATGACCAATATACCGTTCTAACAAGCAAAAAGAGATCGAAACCAGACAGCGGACAACATTCCTCAACAGTTGCGCATGACAGCCGAACGATAGGTGTCCTGGTTTACTGTGGCCAGACGCCATCATAAAGGTGGTTTATTCTGACCGCTGCATACCATTGACAGCACTCATCGGCAGCCCCGTGTACACTGGTGTAGAAAACACAAAGTCTGGACACCTCATCAATAGGGTCACGTCCTCTTTATCAGTGAGAGTCGTTTCAGTATAACAAACGATTCTCGGCGGAGAGAGGCAGGGATATTTTTTCATCCCACTAAACATCAGGGAAAGAGACCGCGAGGTTGATTTTGATGTACTTGTATGGGGAGGCATTAGGATGAACAGACAGACAGTATTCCACATTTTCAACAGAACTTCACTTATCGGAGATCATTACTGTGATAAAATTATCCTCCCCGATGTGCGAGGCGCTTTTGGTCCCAACTTTGTTGAACGACCATGCATGTCCACACGAGACTCATGCTGTTCAGGAGCACCTGGAAAATGAAGATATCAACACAACGGATTAACCAACGTTCTCCCCTAATTTAGATAACATTGGAAATGTGCGGGATACTTTTTGGAGACTCTGGCACGATCTTAGCCTCCGGAGGGAGAACACCAGACAATTAAAACAGCTGCTTCTTCAGAATTGTATCTCTTACCCTAAGAATAGCTAGATGATCCGGTTTTGAGTATCGAAAGACGATGCAAAGCATCATTGCAGTTAGGGAAGGTTATAATCTGTTACTAAGGCGCTTTGATTTGTTGTTCTCCTACCAACTCCAATGTGTCAATAAATCCTCTTTCTGTTCGTTCCGCACTGTACGCATCCTATTCATTTTTTTTCCTACTATACTTTCCTCATTCTTTAAGTACTACATTGCGCTGAAATATAAATTTCATGTCTCCCAGTTCATTTTTTGTGGAATAATGGACAAAACAAAAAACGTTGCTTATATTTAGTACACTAATGTATTAATATTTAACAATAATTATGAATTCACAAAGAAACGATTGTGTAAAATCTAAACTGGAACAAAATGTAAATTTTATAAAGAATATTTAAAATAAAATGAAAGATATCTCTTCGAAATTCAGCTGTATAGCTAGTCAAATCTAGTCTTGTATTGAAAACTAAAAATTTTCAAATAATTTTTCTTGCCTTATAGACACACTATCCCAAAAACCACTAAGACAAAGAATAAATGCCTAACATCATTTGACGGTGTTAAGCATTTAATCTTTATGCTAACATTTCTCCACTCTGTCGGTCGACAGAAAATACCTATTCGCTTGTGAGGAGGGTATAGCTCTCATCTAATACTATCACACTTCAAGTTAACACTATTACAAGCTTCGAATTCAAATACTTTTGCATATTAATGACATATACGTAGTCAAGTACACGCGAATTACTTTTCACTGTATCAATGAATACTAGACTTCTTGTAGATGCAAGGAGAAAGGAGACAAGAACATAGAACAGAAGTTGTAGTTTACAAATGACTTTTAAAAAACAAATATTGCTCTATCAAAAGCTGCGATATTAGAGGTCTGACTAAAATCCTGGTTTCTGCTTTGACCGCTACTTTTAAATTTCGCCGTCAATCGTGACACTACTAAACGCTGAAACTGAATAATTCGTGAAACAAAAAACTTATTTGAAAAAAAAGGACAAAAACGAAGTTCGGGTGGAAAAGCTTTATCTCGGATAAGCACGAAACTTTTTCCGAATGTCTAAATAGACTCCCGAACAAGCTGATAGAGATTCTAATCTGTCCACAAATTGCCAATTACGAACGTCCATGATCCACACACATGTCTAAAATGCACAGAATACTGTTAACTCGGATTTGTGCTTTAATATTCGTAGCTGAATTAATGAAGCACGAATAAAACAATAAAATGTTAGATTTTACTGTTGTAGATGTAACCGTACGCTCAGCATTTTCCATGCTAATAATATTATTTCATATTTTAAAGTTATATGTAAAGCATGTATAGTTCACCTCAAAGTCTGTGAAATTAACCAATACTTGCTGGAGGATTCACTTAGCTACGTACATAAAAAATGCAGTTTTTCTTGCTCCGAGAGTGTCTAATTATAGTGTATTTAAGTGGATTGAGTAGTTTGTAGAAAATAAGCCTATTAGCTGTAACTGCTGTCGGCGATTTTATTGCACTAAACCTTTTATATTGAATTGTATCCTTTCTATGATATCAAAATAAACCTTTATTCTCGATCCAAAGGAATCGCTGAGTTACTTTTTCGCAACATTTACTAACCAGCTGATTTTTAAAACTTCCGATAAATTAAACTGTTTGGGGCGATAATTGAAATATTTGATGCCGTATTCGACAAATACAACATGGTTCTGAAACTACTAATTACCGGAACTTAATAAATAATAATCGTTTGAATAGCAGTTTTGAGGAAACTTTTTATGCCTAGAGCAACATCAAGATATCAGAAGTTTGAAATTTTATGGTAAAAAAGCAGACGTATGAATAAAAGAGAATCTAAGTAGCTCGACGGATGTAAGGCATTCCATCGAGAAAATATAACTCATGTTAATGCGTCACTGCCCTTTTTGTGTTCTACATATTATTCAGCTGCGGGCTTTTTTTTTTTAACTTTAGAACATTTTGTAAAATCGCCTTACTTATCCAGAGAGAGTAATTCTTAATTTTTCAAATTTTCTCTTTCTTGCACTGAATCGTCCCTTCCTTTAATAAACATTTTAATAATAAATACCTTTACATTTTAATAAACAAATAGCTAATCAAAGGTTTCCAGGAAAGAGACATCATTTTCACGTAGTTCTCTCTGAAGCTGTACTTACAGATTACATTTTGCAACGAAAGCTTTCAGCCACCCCCCCCCCATTTAGTTAACTATTATGTCAGTACTTCTTAAACTAGTTTAGCTACATCAGTGAATGTTCTTCAGAGTTTTACGCACTTTACATTGTTAATCTTTACTTTATTATCATGCATTAATTTTAGGAAAAGATTTTAGGATTCAACAACAATTTTATTTCGAAATCAAACCCTAAGTTAAAAGCTTATTCTTAGGCTAAACTTTTTGTATTAAGCCTAAGTAAAATCATTTTGAAAATTTTTATTATTATAAAACATAATCAGTAACATTTAGTTATCTTTCTTCAAATTAATTAAAAAATTTAGTGCACTTGCACTGAATAAGGTAATATTTAATGGTTTTCATAATTAATGCATTTACCTTACTGATAAGTACTTTAAATTACTTTGAAAATATTTATCAAGAGTTTCAACGTTTATAAAAACACAAGTAAATAAATTTTTCATTCAAAATTTAGTTTTGGTTATATTCTTTTCACCTAAATCTAAAATGTAGCTAGCTATCAAGAAGCTCTCTAAGAATACCAATACGTATTATATGGCATAAAATTCCGAAAGTTAGAAAAACTAACAAATCCGACATTTTGAATTTTCCGAAAACTTTTAATCAACGATATTTTAATGAAATCCTTTTAAAGGTAAGGATTTAAATTTTTTTCAGAAGAATCTGGAAAGCAATAAGAAAAGAATGTAACTAAAGAGGAAATTGTACCTTAGGTTACATCTAAAATGCTCATTGAAACGGTTGTTAATTTAAAGTCAAAAACTTAGGCTCAACAAAACGTCCCGCATGAGGCCTAATCATATTACTCAAAAAATCAGAACAAAGTTATTGGTATAATTTACGAGACTAACCAAAAATAAAAGACGGACAGCACAGCGGTAGATGAAGCCTCACTGCTTGGATGTTTTCTGTCCCACAGGAAGTGCAGTATAATCCACGAAAAATCCACACTGAGAAAAATATGTATATGTTCCCTTTCCATTCATTTGTATTTTGCTCAGAGTTCATTCATTATGGTTTATATATTTTACAGTGTTCCATGATTTTATTCCATTATCGTTACATGGCATTGTTCATTTTAAACTCAATCTCAAAAATGGAAAACTCCTTCGTTAAGCAAAACTTATGGTTATTGTATTTTATGCTTTGTATTTTATATTTTTCTAATTTATATCTGATTTTTTTAAGTATATTTGTTTTAGATTTATGTTATATTATTTATGTTTTAGATATGTTTCTGTGTCGATTACTTCTCTTTAAGGTTGCTTGTTGTGTCGTATAAAAAACTCAGAAATACTATTTTTTGTACAAAGTTTCTACGAAATGTTGTATGAAGAACTATTATCTGCTGGGAAACAAAATGTCAAAATTTATTTGTTCGTCCCTTCTTTATTTATTTTCCAGTTCAAAAATACTGACTGAGAACACAGAAAAATTCAAAAATCCGGAATGACGTACTTCAAATAATTGGTGTTCTATTATAGTATTAATAACCTCGACGAAAAAAATACTGTAAGGATATCGAAATACTTTAATGTAGACAATTTCAAATGTTTTGGGAATACATAGAATTAAAAAAGAAGGTGCGTACTAGAATAAATTAAGAATGCATTCTTTGCGACCTAATCGTTCTTCATTTTTTTTCCAGGCGTCCTATGCCGCAAGTGCTGCCTACACTGCAGCTGCAGCTCGAAGTTACGCTGCTGCAGCTGCAGCAGCTCAGCCCGTGGCCTCTTACGCCGCAGTTGCAGGGTGAGAATAAATTTTCACTTAATAATTTTTAATCATCTGATCCTTCTGTTTACGCACTGTTTGGAGATACTTCTATTGTGTGCATGCTTAACATTCGCTGTTTGCCTGCTCCAGACAGTACACATTCTGGTTAAGCTATAATAGACATAATTTTATGCACTTTTAAGAGCGCACTTCTTTCATTTCGAATGTTCTTACTGGGCTGCTTTCTTGACTATTTATTTAATTTTCTTAAATCTAACAATTCTCTTTTATTTTTATCATGCATAGAACGAAATATGAGCTTTAGCTGTGTGACATGTGCATGAAAGACTTTCTTAGATGCGTTTAACATTTTAAGAGTTATTTATTTCACAGCATTTTTATGCATAGGATTGTATTGTCTGTTTCTCCTAGGGTAGTAATTCATATTATTTTGTAGTGCATATAATAGTGAAAATAATTCATTATTATTTTTTGTTTGACATGTTCACTGTTTTAATTTTGAAAGTTGCAAATTAGATACTTCTGAATCACTCTGAAGAATGTATATGATGTGTTTTATGATATGAAGGTTTCTATTCGCAAGGCTGCACGTAGTTGCACACCTGCTGAGGTATGATTCTCTAATATCGTGTGTAATGTAGTATTAAAAAGTGTTCGGAAATTGAAATTAATTACATTTGAGTTCTTTATTAGTCAACAGAAAATTAGTAAGTGTACTCTTAATTTGCTAATTTTTCTATTCGAATTATTTGCATTTATAATTCTCCTTCAAATATTTTATACTTTTCATAAATTTTGATGCTTGTTTATGAAAACATTTGAAATTCTTAACTTATTTTGTGTAAAAATTATATGAAATCCTTCAATATTCTAAAGATATATGACATTATATTTAATTCTAAAGGAAAAAATTTTGATATACAAATCCGTACGAATATAACGTATTGTAAAAACTGAAGAGTTATTCTTTTTTCAGGGCTTTCCACTCGTTGCTTAATATATTCTATATCTGATTTCAAATTATTACTAATAAAAATTCCAAAAGTTATTACTGTTACTCAAATTTACATTTCAAAATATATCTTCATATTTCGCAATAACATTTATAATTTTTTAAATAACATTTATAATTTTTTAAAGTCTTTTTGTAACTTAAAACTAGAACTAGTTTTCATAATTCTAATATAAATCTCGCCGTTTTTAATCATAAAGTTCATATGAATTACGCCGTAAGGATAAAAAAATTTCACGATTCTCAAAAGACAGAGTATGTATATTATTATTCTAGGCCTCAATTTTCTATGACTTCTCATCTGTTTCGTAAGGATAGATACCATTGCTTCCTTTCGCATATTGCCTTATTTTCAAAACTGCTATTTCTTCACATTTGGCTCTTTACAATAAGAAATAACCACATATACTTACCAAGCGTACTTGAAAATGGCAACATACATATGAAAGCTGGTTTCCAATATATGAAAGCTGGTATATATCAAATGGTTTTCTAAAAATCGTCTTCCATAATGATTGTTTACATTAAACTTCTGAAAAAGAAATGGCATTTTGAGTCCTTGTTACAAAAGATAGAAAACAAAGGATTATATACTATAAATTTATTTTGAATTAAAAAAAATAATAAACAGTACATCAATATTGGAATGGTTTTAGTACACAACAAATAAATAATTGATGACTTACTCCAGAAACATTGGAGTACGTGACGTAGCCTTTCTGATCACACTGCGTGCATTTTTCTATAGGGAGAATCGTCAAAACGAAGTCTTTGTGAATGCTGAAAATAGTCTTTCATTTTCAACGCAAAGACTTAAATTCGCCTTTATTCTGGTGCAAATTTTAACCGATATTCTTCTTCTGTATAATATTTCTTGCTTTCATTTCTATATTTAGCCATTTCCTCCATTAATCTTTGATAAACCTTCTATATTAACAATGTTAAAGGGAAACTTTTTTGTAATTCCTTGTTAGAAATTCCACTGCAATTTCTAACAAGTGATAAAGTATGATGCATTGTCTCGAAATATATAATCCATAGTTGACAAAACTACATTTATTATAGTTTCTACTATTCAGAATAACAGAATAATTTAAGGAGAATAGTTTAAGGAGAATAATTTAAGGAGCTATCTTAGAATATTTCAGATATCTAGAAAAGATCTCATTTGTTACGATTTAACTTTCAGTATTTCGCTTCCAAACAGCTCCTTTTTATATTCTAAAAATGCAACATAACTATTCCATCTAAAATAATTACATGCGTATGATAATTACACTACACTAATTTATTTGCTCAAAAGTTATCATGAACCGAAAAACAGAAGTAGAACAATCTATATTTCGACAAGAGTTAAGAACGCGTAAGACTAATATAATTTACTCTTGAAGAGAATGTATATTTAATAACATTCTGTTACTTATCTCACTGCATAAATTATTGTTTTCATAACACTTTTTTTCTAAATAATAGATTAAAAAGGGTCGTCTGGGCAGCAAACAGAACATATCGAAAGTAGTATCCTCCCAGTAATTCTTGATACCTCCTAAGAGAGGCAGCTAGAAATAATTTTATAAAATAAAAGTAATATCATATGAGATGAAACAAAAAAAGCATCGATATCAATAAAAATTTCTTATCTGCCTTTGAAAAAAAAAAGTATAGAATATAATATTTTATGTTATTTAGAAGATTTTAATTAAAATAAAGGAAAGGGTTTAAAGAAATATAAATGAAAATATCACATTCACAGAAACAAATTCTTAAATGAGCGAATATATTAAATAAGTTCAATCATTCGACAAAATGTGAATAAGAAAATTGGAGAAGAAAATACATTGTAACAAAATACTTTGTAAAAAAAAAAAAAAAATTCTGATGGATTGTAAATTCTGATTAAAAAAAAATTGATTCCAGTGTAAGACGCATTTTATCATATGTCTTAAAAATAGTTAAAGTGAAATAGGGCTAATTAAAGTCAAGGTGAAATAGAGCTAATATCGAAATCTTTCATTAAGCATATCTGAAGTCGATGCCTTGAAAGAAGCTTAGTTAATAAAAGATTGGAACTCCAAAATCTGCAAGTACACAAAAGTTACTTTTAGTATTATCAAGAAGTGTTAAATAATCCATTATGATATAACTGTAATGTATGTTTCTACAAAAGTGTAGAAAAGGAATGCAATGCCGAAAATATTCTCATTACGAATAACAGTTATTCTTGAAACTCGTCTATCATTATCTCTATTTAATTGTATAGAGTTTCCAGAAGTACTAAGAAATTCAAGCGTGCTGGAACAGATAATTGTATTACACAACTAAACCTTAGTTGTAACTACTTATAATAATAATTAGTTACTAAACATTTTGGGAGTTATACTCTGTCCTCTCTTCTATTTAAACCATTTATCTGCAAAAGCCACCGTATGGGCATGTGAAATGCCCATACGTCTACAACTGCCGAGTGTTATGTTACGATTCAAGTTTAGTACCTCTTTACCATTATCACGTTTAATCCTCTTGAACATGGACGTACAGTTTAAAGCAATATAGACTACCCCAAGGATATAACAATGTTCAGGCAATGAAAATATAGTTAGAATTTTAATAAATGTCGCTATTTTTATCTTTCGGTGAGAATAAACTTATTTAATATGCCAGGTTTTTTTTAATTTAAAAAGACTTTTTATTCATAATCTAAATTGATTCGACACAACCTATATTTATGAGGTGCTACGTTAAAAAAAACGTAGCATCTCATAAATATAGGTTTATAAACGTTAATTTTTATATTGAAGAAAAACCACAGATAATATGTATTAATAGTTCATAATTAATAAAACTGCCTGTTCGAAAATATAAAGGAAATATAAGTCAACAGATAGAGAATATACTTTGTCTATAGTACTGTACATGTGTATTCTAATAAACACGTTACTATTTAGTTTATTTCATTTTCAGATTGAACGGATAAAAGCATTTGTTACTCTCATTGCAATAAGTTGAAAATAAAACAAAATTTTCACTTTAATATAGCAAATTATTGCTTTAGAGTTAAAATAATTTATAGAAATTAAATATCATGCTTTCTTTATTCAGGCATTTTTGTAAAATTTACATCTATGTTTTAAATTATATGATTAACCAAAATGAGTTTATCGCCTTAATTAGTCGTGGTAATTATTGAACATTTGTCAAAGGTTTAGAATTTTATACACCGTATCACATTAGTTTATTTTTTTAATAAATTAATGGAGCAATGTATCGAATAAAATATTAGTCTTCAGATATATTAACTTCTCTACATTTTGACAAAAATTTTATGGGCTTTGAGCGAAACAGTCAAAATTATTCAAAATTATTTTAAATGAGAATATTAAACGACAGTTTTAGTTATAATAGTAGACATTACATGATGCTATATTGCAAATGTTTTCAAAGAAATTACTTTTATGATGAAATGAAATGGCAAGCAGTAGATAGTCAATGGTATTTTTATTAGATTAACGTTGTCATCAAAATTACTCTCTCTGCACGTGATGCAGTACAATTTCATTGAAATTCCAAGAACAGTAGTATATTTTCCTGTTTAGAAAATCATTTTAAAATGCTTCACATATGTTACTAAGTTACTACAAAGGCGAAGCTCCCAGCTCCTCCGGCCGATGATTCAGCCATAAAGCCCTTAGAGGCCACACCGACAAAACAAAAATGAGCAGAAAAAATCAGATAAACAGTTAAACATGTAATAAAACTACACATGAAGAAAGGAAAATAGATACACATCATTCACATATCTATTCCAGCCAAATATCTCTGAGCGTTCATAATATTCATTATTTCCCTGGAATAAAGTATTTTATTATAATCCTTAAGATCTCTTGGAAATTCAATTTTCATTTTATCTCTATTGCTAGCAGTCAGGGCACAGGTTTCAACGAAGTGAGCCGACAAAGTTGGTTTACCTCCAAGGCATGGGAAAACGTCCATGCCAAACCTATTCAAGTACATGGGAAAACATCCATGTGCCATCAAAACCTGATTCAGATCTATTCAGATTCTTCTTTTTCTATGAGGAATCCCAATTGTTTTTCCACCTTTTTATACATACTATTGTATAAAAGTCCAATAGTCTTTCTTCTAGAGCCTTGCAATTTAATTTCTTTACAGTTGCCACGTGTGGCTTCTTTTGCCAGTGTGTCAGCCCTCTCATTACCATGAAAACCCACAATGTACCTTAATCCAAAGTATCTTAATATTGTATTTTATAGATTACTATATTTCATTTTAATATTCACAAAAAGTTTATTATCAAACTTAAGTCCAGAAAGTGATTGCAGGACCGATAGTGCATCAGAAAATATATGGACACATTGACCACTAGATAATTTGTTTTCGACACAGGTCAAAGTCTCTAGTATTGCATATAATTCAGCCTGGTACACTGTACTCATGAAATTTAATAAGAACTTTTTGCGATCAATCTGAATTCCGTAAAAATACATTACAAATGAGAAACCAACTTTTCCTCCTAGGCCCGAATAAATATCATATCATACTCATTTTCAGTGAATAATAATCCACCACAATTTAGTCCAAATTTATCTGCAGGTGAATCAAATTCTATGTTAGAGATTTCAAATAATGTAATGGATTTGTTTTTTATTAAAAATTTCATCTTTTCCACGAACTTTAATCGCGTAGCATTCTATTTCAACCTGGGAGAGTGATTAACTCTACCACCCAGCGGGAAAAACATTGCAATGCTTCACAAATACCTTTATGTCAATGCTCTGTTTCACATATACCTCTGTTTCAGAAAACCAAAATATTTTGTACAATTTTCTATTGAATTTACTAAAAAAAAGGAACAAGATTTTTTCTTTGTGAAAAACGTTGCAAATTATTCATCTTTCAGGGCCTAACAACAGCTTAGCGGTACGATCACTGAATACTGGTAATTTGACCGGGCTCGAATCCCAACGGACGGACTGTTTTCTTTAATGTTTTCATTTTTCTCTCATGTGTAATGTTTCTCATGATATTACAAAGTCCAAAACTTGCAATAAACATTTGTTATTCCTTAAAATTTTTATGTGTGAGTAGAAATAAAAAGCATGTAGAAGTGGTGTATTACAAAATCATTCTAGTAGTGAACAGGTGGTGAAAGTTGCTGCTTGAAGAAACGCTGTAGAAAGGAAACACATTGACGTGAAAGTATCGACCCTTACTGTCAAGAGAATCCTGTAGCAAGCAGTCAGTTTCGATACAAGCAGTTGCTCACTACCTGATCTTCTATCCTGAAAATTTTCTATCTCTCTCTGCCAAACGGCAGAAATATATGCATAATCTAATACCATTTGCAATGCTAAAATATTTTCTTGCAGCACGTTTTAGTGCCTATATTATGTGTGAATGCAGTTGTATCTGATATGACACATATCTAACATAGTAATAAGAAGGGTAGACCCCACCCTGAATAATTACGAAATTTTCTTGTTTTATTCTGATCAAATATTTGAAGATTGCCCAGCAAATCCACTTTAAACTTAAGCGTCATCTTACATTTATGAAATGTGGCCATTATCAGTAAACATGTTTTTTCTAAACTTCGTAACTCAATGGTTAAAATTTAGTGAAACGTCAGTCTCTAACCTTTTTTATCTCACAGTAAGATTAAAAAATAATCCTGATATATTGTACATATCAATTATAATTAAAAATCAAATTAAATATGTGCTGCTGTAAAATATATTAGTCATAAGCACATAACTTTGATAAAAATAAATTTTGATATTGCAATGAAACTTAGAATTTTAGCTGATTAACAAAAAAGTGGAAAGCCCTGCATTAACTAATGCATTAACTTGTGAATTATTTATGCATACATGGCAACAGTTTATTGAAGTTTTTAAAAGTAGGCTGTTGTAATTAGTAAGCAGGTGTGCAATCGAAAGCAGAGCATGGCCCTTGCCTTTAAAATTGTTCTTCATTGTTTCTTATTCCTAGATCTCCATCATTGTATTACAGCTATGGGCGGGAATACGCAGACCCATACCTAGGCCATAGCATAGGCCCAGTGGCTGGATACGGGGTAAGTGGAAAGTCCTAATCACAACCTGACTACACCGCGACTGTGTAATCATTGTCAATTCTCGGAGCCGCTATTTTATAAATGTCGAGAAAGTGTCTTTTCTCAACCTTCTATTCTTAAATACTTACAGAAACAGAGGTGCACAACCTATGTAAAAGATAAACAGTCTAAAAAGTCACATAAAAATAAGTTTGGGTGTGAACAATTTTTTATTAAAATATTTAGTGCTATATTTTATATTAAAAACCTTAGCTACATATACTAGGAATTCTTTTTTGTGTGTAAATATATGTATATATCGTGACTAAATTTGTGCTAAAAACATTAAACACAAAACTATAAAAGAAAGAAGTACTAGTATAAGGAATTAAATATCTGTTTCTAAATCATCGCCAAAATATGATAAAAGAATTTTTAGGAAGCATTATTTGTAGTTAGACTTTTTTAATTAATCAACAGCATAAAATGCCGTATAAGAAAATATAAGAAAATTCTACTTACAGAGTAAAATACCATTTATGTGGCTAGTTGAAAAACAAATGATTAACTTAGTGAAACAGAAAACCACTTAGAATCAAGAATGTTCATCGTGCTATTTGAAGTTATTATGCTGTATGGAAAAGAGATTTCTCTCAACTAGCAGTGAATATGATTTGTGACTTTTAAAACATTCAGTATAATATGCAATCAGAAATAGTTGAAACATGTGTTATGAATATCTACTATTTATTAAATTATAAGCTTATCAAGTCAGCGAAACAGCTTTGTTTAAGTTTTTCACTGTCCTTTTATTCCCTACGCAAATGTTACAAATTAGTAGGCAGTATCCGACAAGTAGAGACGAGCAATAGATTTACTAGTTAGAATTGGTAGCTATGCCCACTAAAGACACCTCAGCAATTTATCCATTTAGTCAGCTGCCAGTAAGTTAAAAGCCACCGTTTGAAATTACCATGGCTGTTTACTTTGAACACTTAAGGCTAATAATTTACTTTAATGGAGAATCTACTTAAAATCTGAAAGCTACATAGGGCAGGCAGTTTTTAACTCATTTAGTGAACCTGAATTGTGTTGTTTTTTTACCGAAAGTATAAAAACAAGTAGAATTTTATATTACTTAAGTAATTATCATCCACTGGGAGTAGCATTTACTGAGTAAAGGTGAAAAATCTTTTGTAACCTTCATTTCTACTCTTAGTTAAGAGACCAGAGCTGCCGTTAGCATCAAGTACAAAACACTATTTTGAATTTACATTTACTTTGGATTTACTATGGATTTTTACTATGGATTTACTTTACTTTACATTTACTATGGATTTTTTTAATGAATACAGTATTGCGTTATGCATCTCAGGCATTCAAACAATGTAAGGAACAATTTGGGTATATTGCCCATTTAGAAGTACTACTGAAATCATACGAGTATGGAAACACTAAAATTAAAAAAAAAGCAATAAAACTTCTCCAGAGAGCTTTATCAAAGTATTTCTCTTTATTTTATTTCACATATCAGTTTTGATATTGAGGTAAGGTCACAATTTACTAAAACTTTAACTTCTGTGCCCACAAATAATAAATAGTATGTATTACGGTGTTTTGTTTAATATTTTCAGCTTCACATTATTGTAGTTTATAAATATTAGTCACATAATTGTTGGTAACTGGAAGAAAATTCTCTGATTTAGAGAAAATCTAAAATCAACTCTTAATTTACTTTATTTTTAATTAGTCTTTTTTACTGTTAATATTTTATCTGAATAAAATTTTGGGACAGTCAAAATTGCATACCCAACTATCCACTTTTACTTCTTTCTACTAACAGGACAAAAACTTCAAATTTTTCGTCTTTACATCAATTCTAAATAACACTTTAAAGTTTAAAAATATATAGAAAGTATAATAAGACCCCTGTCCAAGTGAAATCTAAAATATTGAATACTGAGAAGTTTGTAAAAGATTTTAATTCTAAATCTTTTATATTGGTTTATTAAGAATATTACATTAAAATTTTCTATTTTTAGTTTATCATGGATAAAAGATACGAAAGAAATTGATTGATATATCAATAACCTGAAGTTTAAAATATTTGGATATAAGAACAACTTAGAAATTTTCAGAAATATTGAGATAATATTTATTCACACTGTTCCAGAAAACATTTTGGAATGAATTTCAGATTTTAATATTCCTATTTCAGTGAAATAAAAGCGTTTAAAATCGATTTTAACAACGCCCCTATCTGCAGTTTAAGCCTCTTCAATAGCAAATCTACAATTATGCTTTAAAGAGGAGGTCGAAGCATTACTCGACCACGACAGGTCACCACGACGACCACGGAGGTCGAAGCATTACTCGACGTCGAAGCATTACATAGTAATTATATATTTCAAAAGTTTATTCAAGCAGGTATGCTACAGATTTGAATAAAGTACAGTAAAAAAGTGTCACAAAACCTTACCGGTAGAAACTTAAAATACTTCAGTATTGCGCAATGTAATCAATACCCTTTTCAATTTTCTAATCTGATAAACTTACTTCTATTCACAGGATAAAAATGTGAATATAATTATTGAATTAATTAGAGCTGATGATAGCGATTTGAAAGATTCTGTACTGATCGTACAACGTGTACAGCTCCTGGACTACTTCCTATGTACGTAGCGTTAATATGAATTACATCAAATGCCATAGACACAGGAAATTCTACTCCAAATTTAAATTGTCCAAATTATAATTAATTGTGCTGGAAATTGAGAAAAATCGATTTCTCTTTAATGAATTGTTTTTCATGTGAGAATTCTCTAAGAAAAGAAAAAGAACAGTTTGAAACCATTATAATAGAAATCATTTTAGTAATAATTAATAGTAATAATTCTAAAGCAATCTTTTCGTATTTTATAAAGGAAATATGTTTCGTTTTAAATGAAATTAATTTTATTTTTATATTAAAAAGAAACTTTGCGGGGTAACGTGCATACTAATGTTTAAAAAATATTTTTTTCGTTCCAAAAACTGCAGTAAAATTGCTTATTAAACTACACCCACAGTCAAGTAGCAAACATTTGTACTAAATTCAACGGCTGGCTACTGTGGCAGGGAATATATGTAAATTGTTGTTCGCCCCTCTTAATTGAAGAGCCGTTATTATCGAAAGAAATGAAAACATTTACCGTTGTCTAATATATAGCTTCATGCCTCAATATAAGACAGTACGCGTTTAAAAAGCAGCTCACATTTTATATACTTTTCTATTTAAAATAAAATTTACTTTATAAAAAGTAGAAAATTAATCCATTATCTGCTTTCAGTAAATAGTCAAACATAAAGTTCTATTACAAAAATTATTTTCTGTAATATGTGTTTGGATAAAAGTTTGCGATTAATTTTGTAATTTATAGTTAGAAGAAAATGAAATCGAAAATTATCATTAGAGTTCTTTGAGCTGAATTATGTTATTAAAAGCAATTGTTTAATTCTTAACTCTCTCCTTTTTATTATCACTCAGAAGATTATATGGGTGGAACAAATACTCCATTTCCTATCGCATAATAAGTGAAATGGAAAGTCGTATAAATACTGAATTTAATTAAAGTGAGATTAAAATAACATTTCGTTTTATAAGAATAGTATTTTGAAAGTAGGGAGTTGCTTTCTAACAGTTATTTTTATATTAACAAAGGAAGATTTAAATTTAGCAATTCATTTGTTTTACTTGATAACTAAAGAGAGAAAAGTATTAAAAGAGAAATGTGTAAAAAAACTATGGAAGTTCAAATTCTTCTTCATAAAGCTTATAAATGCTTTTGGGAAAAACCAAGAACATTTTTATTAATTTCTTTCCGTGACAGCTGAAAACATATGATTACTGGATCAACTGAAAGAAAATTAAATGAAAAGTAAGATTTTCTGTGATAAATAGAAAATGTCTTATTGTGTTAGTACACTATATATTAAAGCCTTTTACCTTCCCTCACCCCCATAAGCAAAGATATTTTATATAACGATACAAAAGTCTACTCTCTCTAGTGGAAAATAAATCTGAAAATATTTTTAATTTATAAAATGCATTTAATATATTTTTATCTGATTCTGAATCATTAGTACTTAAAAATAAATGTGGTGGGGCCACTTTATGCATAAATCTAAACCTAAAATTTTAAAACAAATTTCTAAATTTAAAGGATTGGTTAAATAAGTCTTATGTAATTTCTTAATGGGTATTTTGATACTTTTATGCATTTAAATTATGCATTAAAATTATTTAATTATTTGTACGGTAAAAGGAATTACTGTACATTTTTATGGAAAGGGAAAACTAAATCTTACAAAAAGTGAATTTCAAATTCTGAAATTAGTACTTTGATAATTATTCATCAGGCTCAAAGGCCATTAAGATTTCGATTAAATTAATTTCTGTGCAAAGATACCTTCGAATTTATAAATATACACGAATCAATATTTGCTTTCGTTTACATTTTAAAGATACAATTATTTTAATTATTTATTAATGAACTTGCTTCATAATTGATTATTTTACTTATTTAAGCATTTGAAAAAAATAATTTTCAAATTCTGTGATCAATATCCGAGCATCCTTTTTACTAAATTCCTACTATTAGCTCACACTCTCCCTATATCTTGTTCAAAGTTTTAATATTTTATAAAATACTTTTAATTCATCCACTCAAATTCAAATACATTTTTTAAACTCGTAGTGGATAACACTTGATGTTAATACAGTTTTTTTCACATATTAAAGTCAATTCCTACTTTTTTATTCCTGGTTATTGGAACTAAAGATATGCTGTTTTCATTAAATATATTTTAAGACTTAAAATAATGACCTTTTATTTTTATTAGCAATTCTCACGTGCAGTAAAAATTAATTTTATAACAACTTATAAATAATAGTACATGACTGTGATAAATGGGATTGTAATATTTAACAAAAAAAGTGGCAACAGTAAGACAGAGTTCTAAAGATTTTTAAAGTGTATGGAATTAAAGAACTGTAGTTTTATAGAGTTGGATGAAGCGGATGTTATGTCCCATTATGTAGCAAATATTCTCCCAATATTTCTATGTTAACGTGATAATAATACATGTTTAAAATATAATCCTTTAAAATGTCCCTTACTACACAAACGGAGAATGCGAAAAGAAAGCGAAAAGAAACTACAACACAACGCAAACGACGATTAAAGAAGGAAAAACATAAGCGCCAAGAAAAGCTTCCTACGAAACCTCTTCGCAGCAAGAAGTCAAGCATATGTCGCCTTGAGTCGTGTGAAATCATTAGATGGAATACTGACTAAAGAACTGGACTGCTCTAAACTCATTGGACAGGTTCTTTGCAATAATGAAGCATTACAAGAGACGGATAGAATGAGAAATTATATAACACCATCAGCTTCATAAATTAGAAAAGAGAAAATGTTAATAATGTTAATAAAAAATAACTAAAATAAAATTTTTCTTTGTTGACCTAAGTAGGAATTGACTTTATTTTTTTATATTACTTGTTACTGTAGCTATAAAATAAAATATTTTTATTATTCATTTTTTACCACTGTCATCACAATATTTTCCAGCAGTTATTATGCATTGAGGTGAATAATATAAATACCCTGAATAATTTCAAGCAATATTTAAAATAGTACAGTATTGCTGTAAATCTTTTTCAAGTAATGGTAGACAGAAAAAAAGTCCTCAAATGTAAAACAACTTATATGAATTATTATTTCATTTTTGTAATTATAAGCCAAAATCCTTAATGAAAATTTATTGTATTACACAACATTCCTCTATTATACATAGTGTTTGGACGGCAAAGCTGTAAACTTTATGCCTTTAAATGTTGACTTTAGGCTTGAGACCTTTAAATGTTGACTTAGGCACTTTAAGATAGAGTTTTGAGCAAATGAATAAGGATTTTTATAATTCAAAATACAATATTTTTATCGAGCAAATGCTTAATCAGTTAATGGTAAAAAGGAGAAAACAAAAGGTTCTTTCAGTAAATATTCATCATGCCTTAATGATGTGAAAATGATGTAAAGAGTAAAAATGCCTTATGTCTTGGGTACTAAATTCGTAGAGATGTTAAGGAAAGAATTTATTGAATTAGATCATTTTAATCCCTCTTCTTAAAAATTAGATTGAATTAACTGGATTACGGCAAAGTACGCAATATCTATCTGCCTTATAAAGAGGATGCCTTCGTGAAGGACCTTTCTAAAGAAGCTGGTTCGTATTCATATTACACATCGGGAAACCATTAACCAGCACATTCGCCTGTTCCGACGAATAAACCTGGGCCGAACTGTCAGTTTTCAGCGAGCATACTGCTCAGCTGTTAGTAATCCTATTATTAAGGCATTTCAATCGCGTCTAAGAACAACCTGCAAAACTAAAATTTCTCATCTTGGTAATTAACTTTTCTGCAGTTTATAACAGCTCTCGTTATTAATTTTGTAATTTAGCCCAATGAACGCCCTTGAAAGTCGAACATATAGCTCTAAGATCTCTCTGTACCTCATAGAAGTCAGAGAGCCTTTCTCTAACACATGCAGAATTGTGATGTAATCCAGCCTAATACCTGTCCAAACCATTACTCCTTCCCATTATAATGATCCTTTTCCCTGATGAAGGAGGGATGATATCGTGTTCCCGGCCCTCTCCAGATACGAGTACACTGAGAATTAGTGTCCAAGCTGAATCTCGACTCATCTGTAAAAGGCACAGTACCCTTCTGAAATCTGGTGCAAGGTAAATGTTATCTGCGCCATGCTAACCGCGCTCTGTTGTCTACCGCAGTGACCAGGACGCAAACAGTGGGTCTTTTGTTGTACAGTCCATCTCAGGAAGCCTTCGGGAAACTATAGATCATTTAACTCGAGTTCTAGTGGCCGCATACAGCTCACGTCAGAACTGTGAAGCTATAGTATTTCAGTGTCGCCTGGCTGAATGTACCAAATAACGATCCTCATTCATTATTGTAGATCTTGTTCGACCTTGTCCAGGTCTTTTCGATACGAATCCAGTGTCCTGAAACTGTTTCCATAAGTTGCAGACGACACTGTGCGTTACAATGAGCTTTGTACCACCTGCGCTCGTGTTTGGCTGCCTCCCAATCTACCGACTATTCCCCATCTTATTCCGTCGTCCATATGTTCATAGCTACTCATTTTACCTGATACCTTATAATATTTGTCCAACCCAAACGCTACAAATGTCGTGAAGGAGTACAAGCACGCAAATAGACGTGAGCTTTTATCCCTTCCACAATCACAGCTCCGGAGACACGCAGGTGTACGCTTGTATATTCGACTCTGAATGTTTGTATAATTTTTCGACGGCATAATTATACCTTTGGTTCAAAGCGTTTTTTTAATGAATATAATCTATAAATTCTTTTAATTCTGAACACGAATGCAGAATCTTAAAAGCCCTTGATAACTCGACAGATAAAATTAATGAACATATCATTCTTCACAGAACTCTTTCATTTATTTAAACATAGAAAACCTTACGATTCTTTGAAGACCTCCTTCATTTGGAATTATTCTTAACTTTTCTTTCTTATTTTAATACAGAAAATCACATCATTTTTTACTTTACATCCTTCTTTACTGATTTATTCCGTTTCTCCAGACATAAGCTGTTAAATAAATAGTATTCTAACATTTGTGAAGTTCAAGATTTATGTATAACCTTTAGTTAAATACATTACAATATTTTATTATATCTTTCCTTGCATCTACACTTAATCAACAAACATCTTTTTCTTGTGTTTGGTAAAGCAAATACCTAATCTACCGGAATTGCAATGGCCTCATTTGATGACAATATGCAATAATTCCATATTAATCTTATTATTCATTTCAAACATTATTAATTCGTTTAAAATAATGTATAGATATATTTGTTATAATTAAATAAATGTTAATTCATTCTGTATTATTCATTTGTCTATTTGAAACACCGTTAAGCCGAAAATTACATGTGCACTCGATATTACTCTGTTTCTCACTTTCTCGACATAATAAGCTTAAAATAAATCAAACAGCTTTAAGAACGTTTGATAAAGAAATAAGATTTAATTAATAAAACTAACTACTCATTTTATTACTGCTTGAATAGAACCTTAATTTATTTCAAAATATTTTTACATTAGTTTATTTCAGATGTGTCCATGTTTCAAACTATGTAATAAATCAAACCTTGACAGAAATGGATTTTTTCTATTTTAAGAAATAATTGGACGTGTGCGAGCAGTATTTCACAATTAAATCTCATATTTTAAACATGCAAATATATTTTTACTTAAATTTTAACTTTTAGCTGCTACAAACAAAGTATCATACCTGATACTGTTTATCCCTTACTTACAAAATTTAAATTAAATTTACAAAACAGTTATAACTTTATTATAATGCATGCCACTTTTTAACTGTTTATCACATCTAATTCTATAATTCTCTAAACTATAGATCATTTTGAAACACTAGTGCATGCATTTTTGTGGCATGTTGTATACACTTAGTTTTTAATGAAGAAAAACAATACAGCACCGAGATGGAATTGACAATATTACAGTGTGTGCGATCTAGAATTAGCTATCCAGAAACTTTGCATGCAAAATGTGTATGTTGGTGTAAATATGAATAAATATATACATACGTATATTTTAATGACATTTTTTTGCACATTGAACATGAACAATGTGCCTGTTTATTGACTTGCTCCTTTTTAGTATATTTTTGCATTGTTATGATTATTATTATCACTTGCATATGACTCGTAGTTAATGAATTTTGTAAAAATAAATGCATAGTTCAATGAAATGCACTTTTGAAAGCACTGCTTGTATCTATAATTAATGCTTGGAAGTAGTAATTAAAATGTTAGAAAAGCATTTTCATACAAGGTTGTTTTATGTTGACAACCTTTTGCCTAATATAGATTAGAATACTTTTAGCACCGTAAAGAAAATATGATGTAGCAAATTCCAAGCAGACTTCCATATGCACAAAGATACATAAAGCACAGAAAAGGGGTTTTCTCTTTGCTGTTTTATATATGCATTATAATTTTTTAAATTATATATTCCAATGCATATTCTTGCTCAAATATTTCATTTTTAGTTGCTAGCAAAGCAATGCTATTTTTGAACAAATAGTTCTTTACCAAATTTGTAATACACTGCTGGTTAAGGGAAAATATAAAAGTCATCTAACTAAACTGAAAATACTGATTAGAATAAGTAATACTTTCTATAGCAAAAAAAATCTTAGGCTTTACAGAATACCATTTAATTTTTAAATATTTATTATAACTATTTAAATGTATTTTCACATGATATGGTCTTTTACAAAAGTAGATAAATTATGTATGAGTAAATTATAGAAGTACTGGTGCAAACGTTTTAACTGTATATGATTATGAAAAATGAGAGATTTTATTAGACTGTTCCTTTTATTCTTTTAGGAAAGGTGGTCTTGATTTTTATTTACTTGTACATAAATGCATAATAAAATTTAAAATTATTAAAAAATTAATACGTTATGCGCTTAAAGTGGCCCCACAACATAAACTACTAAAAATAAGATATTATCTACACCAGTTTTCTTTGAATAGCAGACCCATCAGCTCACATAAAAGAAATCCTTTTTGGCCTATTTTTATATTCATCGACACACTGTAATTCGTTATTTGATTTGAAAATTTGTTTATTTGGTTCAATAACAGCATTTCTGCAATTGGCTTGCGATGGACTCTAAAACGTGTACTAATGAATAAAATACAGTACAAAACACGTTTAAGAAATTCTGTACCTAACTGAATATTTTACTTATACCGTATTAAATTCTGAAATTGTCAGCCACAGGGTAAAATTTTAATAAAAATTATAACAAGCAATCATTCGTTTATCCCAATGTACAAGTACTTATTATTCAGTTGAAGCAAACTTAATTAAACTAAACTAAGAATTAAACTAAAAACCCGTATTTTTGTTGAAAGTTTCATTTTGTAATTAATTACTAGTTAGTATAATTTCCATTTATACCGATAATCAAATAGCAGAAAGTATTGAATAGCTAATGTAATTCACCAAACTTAATACAAACTACCTAAATGATAAATTATTAAAAGTATTTGAAAATATGTTAATCTGTTTGGCTTCATGTCAGTGCGTGCAATAAGCAACTTTTCAATAAGGTCATAATCCGCGTTATGTTTTAGGTTTCGAAGTTGTTGCAGTTTTTTGGATAATTAAAATTGCCGCAAACGTATGTTTCCTAGACTACAGATTAACAAACAAAGCTACTTTTATTTACCTGTGTATAAATAAGCGGCATATAAGCACAACGCTTATGGTTTAAACTCCTACTTTATTCTAAAATTTTAGAAATACAGTTCAGATTTATGGAATTTTAATTAAGTATAAAACTAAAATTATAATTTACTGTTTAAAGGCAAATTTAGGATACTTAATTTCCGAAGTTAAAAGGGAAACTTATTTTAAATCTAGATTTTCTGTATATTATTCCTTACAGTGAGAAACAAATTTTCAAGAAATCGAGAAATAATTTAAGATTTAGATTGCATAGTTTAATGTAGACTTTCGGATCCATTGAAGTCTTATTGGTAATTTATTCTGTATGCTTCAGAAATTAATTAACATTTTCGGAAATATTTTTCATCAGCTTCTATCTACTACATAAAGATTATTAAAAGCATATGGCATGTCTTCATTTCACAATTTCTAGAACTTTCTAAAATATAAATATCATTTTAAGCTTCATATAAAATCGAAAGTTATTTAGTTGCATTAAAAACTGAAGAATTTTGTAGTAAATTAATAACATTTAAGAATTTCAAATTAATAGAAAACTTCACCTAGAGTTAACATATTTTTTGCCCAATTGTTAGATTTCAGCGTCATTTTGTAATTTTTTAACATGCTCCTATTTTCAAACAGTTCGTGGATAATGTATGTAAGGCCTTTGTGTTCATAATGTAAAATGCTATTACATACTCATCGGAATGAAAGCACTTGTCCAGCGCTCTTGATTTCATGTAGAATACTGTATAAGTAATTATGAAAGATTGGCCGTCGCCTTGCTTTGGATAACTTTGGTTGTCTAATAACCCATTGAACCATCTTCATAAGCCAAAATAGCGATGTTCGAAGTTGAGAAAGCCGACAAATAAAATGATTATTGGTTGATCATCTTCTGATCAAATAAATTCACGTTTTCTCAACCAAACACCACTGCTCAAATTGCGACATTGTGCCCTATGGCGAAAGTGTGCTTTAACTCAATTACAGTATAACACGAACTGTGGAATGATGTATTTTAAACAGTTTAACAGAGTTTTAAACAGTTTAACAGAGTTTTAAACAGTTTAACAGAGTTTTAAACAGTAAAAACAGAGAGTGTGCTATATTTTCAATAGCCAAACGCAGTTAATTCTAGTTTCGGTAGAGGGTATTTCAGGCATTGTACATCTTTCTTAATTTTGTTAGACATCATAAATGCATTTTTTTAATTTATAATGTACTCAAAACTGTATCTGTAAATATCGATAATTCATAAAATTTCCAATTAAATGTTTTGATTAACTATATTATTGCAATAAAAATAAACTGGAAAGGCCTTGAAAAAAAGGAAGCTAAATGAAAAAAAAAATGAGCTAATGATATTACAACTGTGAAAACGAGACCTTAACTGCAGACAAATTTTTCAGACATCGAATTAATATAATATCCAATAACGCGATTCAAAACATTTCAGCTAAATTAAATTCATTCAGATTTCCTCTTTGATTCTCTGCATCTCATTTCTTCAGAAGATATTTCCATATTAATATTTTTAGGTTAGAGATACTTAATTACCTGTTTTCATTATATTATTTTATGTATGATAAGAAAGAAGTAAAATTTTAAAATGCAGAATTTATTTTAAAATATTTATGTCGTATTCGTCGTTTAAGTAAATCATTCATTTTTATATATCATACTTATATTATCATGTAAGTCTATGTTGCAATGAAGCAAAGGAAAGAAGATTCAAAGATATATAAATTATGGTTAATTGTCTCAGTGTGTTACTCATGCAAAGTGCGTGTATTCACAACAGGCTGCCGTGTACAGAAGTGGTTACAACCGATTCGCACCGTACTAGCAGCTGACAGGAAACATCATGTGGCTACTCGGTTGTCCAACCTGATTTGCAACAGTCAAGAACAGCGGCCTACTCATACCACAGAAAGGACATGCCATGTTACACAGACTATTACCGTCTGTAACATTCTGTATAAAGAAAATTCTTAATACTTCATTGTGGCTCAAGAACCTCACAATTTGCGAGGTTAATAGTAAAGAAATGTGTTGAATAGCGTATCTTGCGCAAAACGTTTCATGCAACTTAGTTTTTCTAAAGTTATTTATTTCGTTCTTTTAAAAAAGAAAGCTGTGTCAGCTTTTTGTAACATCTTATTCCATCATTTTGGTGTAACTTGGAATTGTAGAATCTCGATACATACTCAGAAGAAAACATTCACTTTACAAAGTTTACACGAAAATGAATTTGTGATGTAAACAGAAATGTGCACATTACAAAAGGTATTTTTATGGTTATTTAGAAACTGAGAAGAGATTCACGTTTATGATGGTTTTAAAATTTTGTATAAACTCTAACGCACTATGTTTTTAATATTAGTCCTCGTAACTGCAGGTTTTAATTGTTTTATTAGATATACAATCAATGGAAGAAGCATAAAATCATTTTTTGTCATATAAAAGTTTCTCCTTTGCGAGAAACGTAAGTTGCTTTTCATATATTAGTCATATAAATATTTCTATGCATTATTTACAAATTATAATTTTAAAACAATTCAGAAAACTTATACTTTCAAAATTAAAATCATCAGTAAAGTATTGAAAACAAATTAATGCTGTAAATATTCAAAGTGATTGAATTCTATATTATTTCAAATTATTTCCAGTTTTTAATATACAAGTAAATTTTTGTATTATATTCATTTAGAAAATGAGAGAATTTTGAATGATTAATCTACACACTTTCCCATGCAATCTATGTATCAAATCAACAGATATATAACATTTATAAAAGTTCATTACAAAGCCAAAGAGTTTTAGTTTATTTGGAAAATTGCTTCAAAGAATCAATTATGTATAATTTCATGTACACTAGTTACGAAGTCGATATTTTGTATTATTCTGTGCGTAATTATCGAGATTCTACGAAACATATAAGAAATTTTAACTTTTTCTTCATTTCATAAATTTTTCTTGATCTTTAATTGTGATGTTTTTCAATCATAAGTTCATCATGCTTAAAACAATATCATTTTCATGCTCAATAACTTATGAAACGTCATATCAATATTCTAATGTTAATACAAATGCTTATTAAATACGCTGTTTTATCAGCAAAACTAACAACTGTTTTATTATTACCTACTATTTGCTGTATTAGTAGCTGTTGATGCCCCAACCATATAAGTTATTAATATATCAGCTAATACGCGATTTGTATGTACAAGGTGCAGTCTTTATGTTTCTTCAATTTTAATTGAAGTGATTAAAATATTTTGTATATGATAAATATAAGATAATTTATGAATATACTACGCATCGTAATATTTATTGATATGAGTTATTAATGGAAATATAGATTATTTAGAATGTATAGAAAGAAATGTGAGACAAAACGTTTGAAGAACAGATGTTTTAAAATAATATCTGACTTAGTAACAATTATCGAGGTAAAGAAGTTTTGGTAGTAAATAATCTTTCAACTCTTTTGACATTTTCTAAGAAAAATAATGAGTGAAACAACTTTACTATTAGCAAAAGCAAATTATTAAATCTTACTTTATTTTGCTACATTTTATGTTGAACTTTGTAATAAATGTTTTATTAAAAATTCATAATAAAATTTCCAAGTTTAAATTGCTTTTTGGGAATTTACTTGGCAATGCTTTTAATTTGATGTTAGCCACGATTCTGGCAAATCAAACAGGCGCCAAATCTCTTCTTACGAAGCACTTTAGAATAGTAAGTACAACATTGCTGAACAGCGTTGATATGTGAAAACCCTAATATTTGACATTTTCTTATTAAGAACAATAAAGGAAATCGAATAAGCGTTACTTTTTAATAATGTTTCAAAATTTTAATATGCCTTCTTGTTAACTCTTTTTGCTCTTCATCTCAACATATATAAATAAAAAAATGAAATTGTTATAAAGAATATATAAAAGTTATCAGTTTCCCATCTTAAATTTTGAAGTTTTACGAAAATTTGTATCAAAGTAAACGGCTTATGATAAGCTCTAAATTCCTTACTGGTTTCGAGGTGATTATTGTGCTTATCAAAATTGTTGACTTTGTATATACTCTTACTTATCATATTTTGCTAAAAATTCCAAATCATAAACGTCAAAAATAATAGTTTTTAAAATTCCCCATAAAAATTAACGACTTTAATGTAAATTGTAACAGCTGCAGAAGGTTTGTAACTTCATTAATATTATGCATTGCGTTACAAATTATTTTCAGTTAGATATAAAATATGTAAAAGCTTAATACTTTTATACATTGAGTTTGTGTTGCGTCTTTTATAGTACATCTGTTGTTATCTAAATAGCTGTATTAGTCATACTTATCATTTTATATACATTATTTACCAATAACTTTCTACAAACTTCAACTGATCATTATAAAAGCCACTCGATAGTTACTTCTTTACAGGCTGAATAGCTGTTTCTTTACAGAGATGTTTTTAAAAAAATCATTTCTTTTCAAAATATTAAGAAATGTGATATCTGAAAAAATATTTATTTAAATGGGAAAAAATGTTATTGATGGAATTTAATAAGCGTGTATCATTCTTAAGGAATGTGGAACCAATAGATTCATATAAATAGAAATTTTAAAATTTGTATATTATTGCAGGAATTCTTAAAACTGCAGTTTGCATGTTCTGATTACTTTCTCACTGCATTTAATACGATGAATGTAACAACCGCAAACAATCTTCATAGTTTCGTTGCATTTTAAAAAGGCCGTATTTAATAAAATTCATTAATTCTTAAAGGGAATAGAAAACAATCTCTTTTATCAAACTAATAACGAAGATATTACGTCTTGTGCCTTTGTTACAGATTCAGAAATAGGTCATTCATATAATAACCAGAGAGACTAAAAAATGGTGCAAATTCTCTGACGAATAAGTCTCTCTGAATAAGCAAATTAAACTTAAAATTGTAAAAGGAATGATTATGTTACTGTGAAAGACCGAGATTTGGAGAATGTCGACATTCAGCGGTTAATGTTAACATTCACATAGTCGGTTGGTGCATGTCCGAAATATTTGCCAAATATCCTTATTTTTAACTTAACGGGAAAATGTCGACATTCACCATGCACTAATGGTGAATGCTGAATACGTCGGAGATTTGCATTTGTTCTCCGTATTTCAGACGCGATAAAACTTCACAAGGGTGACGTAACGTTTTCGCCTGCCTTGCTAAGAGGAGTAACCAATTTCTGATGAGAAGAGTTGTTCGTAACTCTGTTAGAGGCGTTTTCACTGCGTGACATGTAGCTTTTGATTCTAACGCGAGAAGGGCTACTCGATATTACTTGACTTCTTAATAATGAAAGCAGTCGTGCTTGGATAAATGTTAAGCATTTAGTTTTGAATTTAGTCAATAAAGAACTTTTGTTTTACTTTGCATTTCAAAATATGAAAAAGCTTAAGTAGCAGCACATGTAAATAAACTTTTGAACATTCTAAATGAGAAAAGAAAATAGTACAAAAAACTTAATTATGTGATTGAAATCTTATTTATTGCAACAACATAAACTTTTATGACATTTTGAATTGCACAAGAGTCCCTTGCTTTTACAACTGCATTTAGTTGTGGAACACTTCTTTTTGCAGTGACAGCGTGTATAGCCTTGCCCTCTACTTCTCGAATTAGCTGAAGCTGCTTCTCTCAGCGACATTACTTGTAAACGAAATCTCATCTACGGAAAGTAACTTTTCTTTACAAATTACGAACCGATTACAGGTATAAATCTGCTTGAAGGTGTCATTTTTATTTGCTAGTTTATAAAAGCCGGAGTCTTACTCCAACAACAACTGCCGACACATTTCGGCCATCTGTACGATCACGGTCGACATCAGGTACTTGTATTCAAACGGTTTCATCAATTTAAGCAGGAGAATTTTTTTTAAAGTTTCGTAACATTTTCGTTGCTTGCAGTAAAAGAAAGATTCTCTTTTGCGGCTGATCTTTTTATAGAAATTAACTTGTGTTATTCAGTCCAGGCTTGATACGAAGACGTGGTATGATGCAGGTCCTCCTCAATATTATTCTTTGGAATATGGTTTTCGGTATGGCCAATGCTCAGATTTTCTTTCAAACGTATTAGCAGTTTCCTAAGAGTTGTTCTTTGGTTTCAATACTTGCGATTTGTTCGCCAGGCAGAAAAGACGACGCTATGCCTCTTCTTGGTTTAATGCCAAACATAACTTCATAAGGTGTAATGCATCCCGGTGAGGAGAGACGTGTTTGAAAGCTATGTTTGAAAAATAGAAACAATTGTCTTCTCGTTTACTCGCAATTAATGCACTTAACTTTTCAAGGAAAAGTTCACGATTCACTGCAGTATCTATCCATTCAACATAAATTAGGGTAATGGATAAAACAAAATTAAGAAAACGTTGCTCGTACCATCAAACTTAGCAAACAGTGTTCCAGAGTATAACAAATATATGCTACATAACTTTAACTACAGCAGAGTAAAGGATTTGGCGACAAACAGTCGCCCCTCTGTTGAACTCGGCTACTCTTTTCGACCTCCACCATAGTATATCTGTGACTGTCAACATACACAGGTTGATTGTCCGAATGTACAAGAATATAACCAAATATTCGGTTTTTCACCGACGTATTTGGTATGTGTTGACATTCACCGGTGAATGTCGGTATTCTCCAATTTCGGTCTTTCTCAGTAACAACTATATCAAATAATAAAGGAATTATTTGTTGAACTTTATTTTCCGAAACTATTTCTTATGACTCTTAAAATCTAACTTCATATCCTTACTAAAAACAATAAAACATTACTCCAAAGTTTCCAGAAGAAAGTGGTGTGAAAATTCGTGTAACACATGGGAAATTGAAAGAGAAACCTTCAATCTTGTAGGACGTCTAACTTCTGCAGCTGTTGATAGAATGTTGCTGATATTTGAAATAATGTAAGTTCTCCTTCCATGTTCTCATAAACAACTCTGTATGTTTAATCGCATGTAAAACAACGAAAAGAAGTAAATAATCCTCGAAATGAGTGGTGCTTTGATAACTGTTTCATCTTTTCTTAATTCATACAGCTCTCTATGTTTA